TATTTTCTTCAAATATTATTTTTGCCATTGTCTGTGCATCCTCTGTTTGGACTACAACTTAACGTTTAAGTATGTTAGGACTTCTCCTACATTCTCTAAGTTGACTAATAATATTTTACATTTATTGTTTTTTCTAATTTTTCTTTATTCTGGATAGTTTCTTCTAACATCATTTTTTAAGATTTTATTTATTTACTTGACAGGTAGAGTTACAGACAGTGAGAGAGAGAGAGACAGAGAGAGAGACAGAGGACAGAGAGAGACAGAGAGATAGGTCTTCCTTTCACTGGTTCACTCACCAAATGGCCACAAAGGCCGGAGCTATGCCATCCGGAGCCAGGAGCCAGGTGCTTTTTCCTGCAGGGGCCCAAGCACTTGGGCCATCTTCCCCGCTTTCCCAAGCCACAGCAGACAGCTGGATTGGAAGAGGAGCAACCAGGACTAGAACTGGCGCCCTTATGGGATGCTGGCGCCGCAGGAGGAGGATTAACCTAGTGTGCCACAGTGCCAGCTCCCCTCTAACTTATCTTTAATACACTAATTAATTGTAAGCTATGTCTACTCTATTGATTAACTGTTAGTTCTAATTTTACTAATTAACATATTATAAGTTCTATTGGAGTTCTTTTTAAAAATAAAATTTGTTCTTTAATTCTATGAACATATTAATTGTATTTTTCTTACATTCTCTCTGAGTCTGTGATAGCACAAGCCCAATTCATATGCTGCTTCTTATTCATTTTGTGTTATGTTTTAGAGTACCTAAATAGTTTTTTATTAGAAATTAAATTTAAAATAGAAAATATTTGCTCACTACATTTGAGATTAAAACATGTTATTTTTTTCCCAGGGAATATTTTCATTTATTTTTGAATAGAACTTGACAGTACTTGATCCACTTAAACAAGTTTCAGACATTAGGATGTTCTAGGCATGGGCAGTGACTTCAATCTCAATTGATGACCTTGCAAAGACTAATTTAATTCTGCTTTGTACTCCCTGCTTTTAGAAGACCCAACATCCATTACTTTGGACCTTTAATGCTTCCAAATTCCACTTCTAGCTCTCACTCACTTCTCAGATGCCCAAATATCCTTTTTGACAAGAGATGCCTCCATTATTGATCTTACCTCTCTACAATTCAATCTTATAACTTGTAGCCAATAATTTATAAATATTGACTGTCTATTTGATGCATAAAAATATTTAGTGCAATATGTTTCTGAAATTAATTTACCATTAAAAGAAGTCAAAGACCTCTGCTGTTTTGTAAGTAAATCTAATTATTTAAAGATCAGTCTTTACTTTTCATATAAACATCATTTTCACAGGCAAAGACCTTGAGTTTATTAGCTTTAAAAAGCTGGCAAACAACACACTAATCTTCATAAAAACCTGAATTTACATCTAATTAAGGAAGACTACAGCAGCAACAACCAAAAATGTTTAATCTAATAATATCCAATTTATAATTTCATTTATTGAAAGACAGGTTAAAATCTCACATTTGTGTGTGGTGTGTGTGTGTATGTTTGACATTTTTCTTCATGTTATTTGGATACATGTTATTAAGTCTTGACCAAGAGGGTCAAACATTCTCTTCAATTTTTCTAAGTTAATGATAAATCACTGATGTCTCTGTTCATAGAACATTCATTTTAGAAAATTGTAAATTCTTCCTTTTTATTGAGATGGAAATATTGCACAAAAATTGCCCCTTTCTTCAGGATCTGGGGGCACCCTTTTGAAATGTAATGATTGTGGAAAACAGGTGGGATTCTCTGGAAGAAGGGGAGCCTAACTTCAGTAAGAGATTAGCAACACCAATGGCCTCCTCCAGCTTGTCAAGTTCACTGTGAATGCCCACCAGTGCTTTCCATTGAGCTCAGGCCTTTGTTGAAAATCCTGCAGCCCTTGGTTTCTTGAATGTTGAGTTCAATTTTTCTCTTCTATTACAAGTCTTTCTCCTTTATTTCAAAAGTCTTGGATAAAGTTTATTTTTTGTCTATTTAACTAATTTGGTATAATTTTTAAGTTTAGCTCCATATAAACTAATATTTGGTATATATTCATGTTGCACTATTTTGTTATAAAATATTTATATTTCAATTAATGTAACTTGATTTAGAATTTACTCAAGTATTATTTTGGAAGATTTTTACATTATTTATATTTTCTACTCTTCAACTTAAATTATATGTGCCTTTATATTTAAAGTATATTTAATAAACAGAAACAATCCTGTTACTTTATCAAGTCCTATAATTTTAATATTTTACTTAGTAAATGTAATGTAACAAGTAAAATGTAACATTTAACATAATGCCATTTACAATGGAATTTTATCTCACTTGACATTTTATTGAGGCCAATGGCACTCTTCAACAAACACATGAAAAATGAATAAAAGTCTTAAATTTTTTATTTCAAACACAGTAGTAGAGAGAGTGTGACATAAACAATACACATTTATCTCTGGGTGCCAATTTTTCCCATTTTCTTCTTTACGCTTTTATTTTGGTGCCATCAAGTAACTCTCATTTGATTTCCTTGTTCCTGATTGAATAAACTTTAATTTCTTGCAGGTTTACTGTGCCTCTGATGCCATGCTGATGTAAGTCTTCACTGCCTTCATTTCTGTATATTCCATTAATCTGTCTTTTGTTCACTAGCCCTATCATGCTCTGTCCCAAAAACGCCTATCAAAATGAAACTTTGTGTTATTGGTTTTAGATGTCTAATTTTTTTGTTTTAGAATGTTCTTTAATCAGTTTCATATATTACAAATCTATAATTAAGTTTGCAGTATTTTATCTACTTTATACTTCTTTCCAATTTTTGCTCAAATATTTCAGTAATAATAATCTGAAATTATTTCCTTCTAGTTTTACAATCTAGATAACACAGCTTCTATTTTCTGGTTTATTTCTCTGTAATACTATCCATAAAATTTTGTCAGCACACATATTTATAAATTAGGATTCTATATCCATCATATTGTTTAAAAAGAATCACAGTGGTCCCAGAAAATGTTTTCTTCCTCAGGAGCACGCCCTCTCAATCATTTATTAGATGCTGCAATGGAGAGTTGATCTTTTCAGAATCAACTCCTAAGGATCACAGTGTGAGCTGTGCCAATGCTAGATTTCAATAGGACTCTATTTTCCTCTGTTTATTCCTGTTCTGCCACGTTACCTGATTAGTATGTGAAATGGCAAGCCTGCACTACTGCAAAAGACTCAGTTCCACATCCAGGATTTACCAGTGTAAATCTTTATCCACTTGTCATGTGCAGATTCAGAATAAAGGAGATGTCCCAGAGGAGAGATGGTCTGTACACTTAAGACACCTTAGCTCCCAATTATATGACCTAAGTCTAGGGTGACTGCAAAAAGCTCTTCTGGTTTCTCTATCTGGGAGCAGCAGCATTTTCCAGGGGTTGATACTTTATTCTCAGTCTTGAAATATGTCTTGAATATGGATAAATATGCCAAAAGGAAAAGCAAGTGCAGAATCTCAGAATACATTCATCATTCTTTTGGGTTTCCCATCCTTGCCTATTTTGTTGCCAATCCTCTCCTCATAGTTGATCTTTTAAAATTTGGTTGTAAATTGACAACTGATCATTTTGTATATAAGGCTACTTCAAAAAGATCAGGGAAATTGGAAACAAAATGTTTATTTTGATGCAAACATTTCTTGAAATCCACAGTTTTTTCAAAATATGCACTTCTATGAACTTTTTGAAAATCCTTTTATGGTGTATAATTTGATGTCATGATTCATGTGTACAATCGGCCATGATTAATCCATGTATCTTTCACTTCAAAAACGTATTTTTGTAAAGAAAATATGTGAAATGTATGTACTTAAAATTGATAAATATATAATACATTATTATTCATTGTTGTCATATCTCTGCAATGAACATAAAAAAGTCTTTCATCCTTTCTAACTGAAACTTTGTAACATTTTGTCATCAGAATTCTAGCTCCTCCATCTCCTTTCTCTGGTATCTACCATCCCTCTCTCTGCGTCTGTGAGTTCTTTTGTATTCATGAAGTCTTTTGCTTAAATATGTATCTAAATAATCTTAACTCTTTTTAAATTATCAGTCTTCCCAAATCTAGACACCTTTTATTCTATATATACCTTGGTTTTTTCCAACCAAAATCCATGTTCTGTTGAAATCACCATCATGCTTTTTCTTGTTTGATACATATTTTGGACACCTTTTAAGTGTGTTTGAAGAAATGACATCAGATGAATTGTAATACACAAGCACATCTTTGCAGCTGAAACATCTTTGCTTATTTAAAATTTAGTCATATAAAACATTTCCAATTAAATTCTATATAATCAAACTCACCACACTGCAGCGATTTTTGTTATCCTTTTAACATGAATTATTAAATAAGCCCTATCAATAGTCTTATATTGCTTTAAATAGCAATGCTTTATACATGTATACTACTACAGGTTATGCAGCAAATAAGTAAAAAAATATTGGAAACACACACACTAATAAAATTTTAGAATGACATAAAAGATATGCACTGTTAAATAAAAATGGATACACTTTGCTTCTAAAATAAGTAGTTGCATGAGGGTGAGCCCTTAGGGAAATCATGTTCATGTAAACAAGGTGTAGAACAAATGCTATGTTTGGTCTCACAAACGAAATTCAGGGAACACTAGCCAAGGTAGAACTGTCAGATGAAAATTCTTGCATGGAGAAAAGCAAGACTTTTCTTTAATAAATGCCTACATCATTTTAATAGCAGATTCTACCGTAGTGTCAGTAGCATAGTAATACACAAAGCACCAGACATTCTTTTAGCAAAATTCTGACAAGCCAGTCATAAGAGCAATGTATGTCCATCTGAAAGAATAATTAAAAAGACCTTCCAAGTGTATAGTAGATTCTTCCTGGAAGGCAAAATCTTTTAGGTATTTGTTGATCAAGGTTTGAAAATGTTCCATGAGAACATGTGCCTTACCTGACTCCTCAAAGTTGCTGTTGTAGACTTCCCAGGTTTCAGTTACTCGAAGAAGATTCTCTTCCACAGCTTGGATGTCCATGGAGGGGCAGTTGCATTCTGGGAACCTGGGGCCACACTGACACCAGCAGTCATTGTCCTTGCAGATAAACTCTCCTTCCGAATTGCAAGCGATGTAGCTCAGAGCTGCTTGTACAAAGCACTCCTGGAGATAGTCTGGAAGGAGAACTTGAAGCCCTGTAGAGAACAAGCAGAGAAATCAAAAACGTTGGCTTCAATACAGAAAACAGTAAACAACAATAACAACAACACAAAACCCAACCAAAAAACCTATTAACAGTATTCAATAACCAGTAAAAATGTACATTAATTGATAAATGTGTATTTTAAAGCTTTCATTAGAAAATTATTTATGTCTAGGTATTTTCAAACATTCTTATTTTTCAGCTTATGCTGACCCCATGAATATGGACTCTTAGAAACCATGTAATTTAGCCAGTGCTGCGGCTCAATAGGCTAATCCTCCACCTGCAGCACCGGCACACCGGGTTCTAGTCCGGTCGGGGTGCCGGATTCTGTCCTGGTTGCTCCTCTTCCAGTCTAGCTCTCTGCTGTGGCCGGGAAGCCAGTGGAGGATGGCCCAAGTCCTTGGGCCCTGCACCCGCATGGGAAACCAGGAGAAGCACCTGGCTCCTGGCTTCAGATCAGCACAGTGCCGGTTGCAGCGGCCATTGGAGGGTGAACCAACAGAAAAAGGAAGACCTTTCTCTCTGTCTCTCTCTCTCACTGTCCACTCTGCCTGTCAAAAAAAAAAAAAAAAAAAAAAACTATGTAATTCATTAAGACCTTAAAGTATCTGACTTGCTTTTTAGACTTACTGAGTGGGTTTGCTGATGTAATTGAGAAGAACATTTGGACTGATTTAGATATTCCACAGTTCAAACCTTTGTCATTTGTCAAGACTGCCCACTGATCTAGCTCCTTAATTTTCTACATGAAAGTGCGGTAAAGTTATATCTTAAGAAAAACATTAAAAATGAAAAAATACCAAAAATAATTTGGAAGTCTTTGGGAATTCTTCATTTATTATGATATTTAAAGAAAAATATAGCTTTAATTTTATAATGTTTGATATGCTAGAAAAGTTATTAATGGCTATATATTCAAGCTAGCTAGTAGGTAAAAATGAATAAGAGCACATTTAGGCAATACCAAGTCATCATTTGCAACAAACCGGAATTTAAAAAAAAACTTTTACATGCTTCATTTCTAACAAAAAATAAGCAAGCTTTTGATACTTGACTATTGATGTTAATTTAATAAAAATTATGGAATTAACATCTAGGGAACTTTGAAAATACACTGGCAATTATATCTACATCATTTTTTCAGATTAACTCTCCCATTTATCACATAAGTAAACCATACTCATTACATATACATTCACCTTTATAATAATTTTATTCCACCTCAAGTAAAAATATTTATCAAATTTCTCCCATTTCAAAGAGAAATTTTAGGTAAGATGATGACTGATGCCTATACTTGTCCTAAAAATACATTTGTAGCACATTTAAGAAAATTAAAAGCTGCAACTATAATAATATTATACAATACCAGGGATACATGTAATTCAGTACATGTAATTACTTGGCGGAGCAATTATTATACTAAGTTTGCAAGGATAAGGAAACTTTTTCATGAATAAAGCAGGACTAAGATGCTACTTGACACACGGCTTTTTTGACCATGGAAAATTGGCTGCTCACAGCAAATGATGACTCATTACCAGCACACACAAATGAATAGAGGGATTTAAATATTATATAATAGAAAGTAATATGATGGCTCAATTCATAGGGGCTATCAAGGGCAACAAGTGAGTTGTTTAGAAAAATAAATCATGTTAATTGGAATTCCTATATAAGGGGATTAATTCACTTGGATTTAAAAAGCTTTTATCTAGATGGGTTAATCTGGTACTTTTTTAGACATAAAATGTATTAAAAGCAATTTCAAGAGCCTAAAAGGAGCTAAATGATGGGATCATAGGAAAGACATTAAAGCGTTGGGGGACGAAGAATGAAAGTATACTAGACAGTAATGTATTTCATCTAAGGCAGATGAAATGGCCAAATGACCTGGGAATATAAAGTAAGAAATATCCTATGAGAGTCTAATTCTATGGGTCACCCAAAATTACCCTCCAATTCAGAAATAACTAGTATTTTCTTCTGAATACCTCCCATCAAGTACTAAAAATACATGAACCTGCCTCCATGTCTGCTAATGGAACTCAGGAAAAAGTATATAACTACTAGAACAGCTACAGTAACTAAAATTTTGTTTAGCCAGATATTTGGAGACTACAAAATATGTTAAGTTTAATTTTACAGGAAAAAAGAAAACATTGAACAAATTATTGTACTGTAATTTTCAATGCATAGGTATATTTGTACTTTTATTGGAGAGAAAAGGCTGAGATGGGCTTAGACAGTATCTGCTCTAGTTTCTATACATATATAAACTCACATTTTGTACAACCATACAAAAATATGGGAAATACAGTGACAGATTATTTGAAACATTGATTGTCACTGTATTACCGGTCCACCAACATAAATGGTAATTGATACATGAAGAGACAATTTGGACTGCTGTGGCAGGGAAGTTAGAGAAGCTGGGGACTACCCCTATGGAATCTTCAAAAACTACAGAAAGGAGGGTAGAAACACTCACTGATCACACTTCCCATGGTTCTAGGAATTCAGGGCAACAGACTGACTATGAGGTAGAACAACTGTGAGAAGCTGAAAATCACAAGTAAAATATGAATGTTAACAGCACCAGAGGACTAGTTTGTTCTGAACCAACTCTCTTCTTTGGGAACAACTAGAAAAGCTAAATAAACAGTAAAAAAAAATGATCAGCTTAAAGGGACCAAAATGCCAACAAGGCAGGGAGAATTTCAGCATGCTAATCTGGCAAAAAAATAAAATAAAATCTCTCCTGAGAAAGTACAATATTGGAAACATCTTGTCTCTGAGAGTTTTGAGAGTTTTGCCTGGTGTCAAAGAAGAAATCAACATTTTGAGACACAAAATGCAAATGCAAAGAGAGAAAATTCCTTAGGATTTATAGGAACCCAGACAAGGTACAAACCCAAAAAGCAGAGAAAAACTGCAACACCCAACCAAACGAATTTACCGATTAGCTTTCACTGGTTATGAAACCTAGTTTACAGTGGCTGAATTCAAAATAGATGAAAGGACTGTGGGAAATAAAGAAAAGTTTCTCTAAAAGATACAAACATCGTCAAACTTCAAAATTATTTTTACAGATGCATACATAACACCAGAAACCAATCTCAATAACATGAACACACAAGTAGCAAAGGAACAACATAAAGGCTATCAAAGATGAACTATAAATTGATTTCCAAGCTGTGGGCAAAATTAAATGATAAAATAAACAATTTGGAAAAATTATAAATTATAAAAATAATATGTAAACAGACATTATGCAAATAACAAAGCATAAATGGAATTTAAAGGGAAATTGATGGATGTAACAGAACAGACACAGCAGAGGATATAATTAGTAAGCTGGAACACCTCTGGAGAATATATTGAAGTAAACTAATAAAAAGACAGAGAGGCTGGCTTTATGGCATAGCAGGTTAAGCACTGCCTGCAGTGCCGGCCCATATAGGTGCAGGTTTGAGTCCTAGGTGCTCCACTTCCCATCCAGCTCTCTGCTACAGCTTGAAAAATTAGTAGAAGATGGCCCAGGTCCTTTGGATCCTGAACCCACATGGGAGACGAGGAAGAAGCTCTTGGCTCCTGGCTCTGGACTGGCACAGCTCTGGCCATTGTGGACATCTGGGGAGGGAACCAGCAGACAGAAGACCCCTCTCTTTCTCTCTGCCTTGCCTCTCTGTAGCTCTTCCAAATAAATAAATAAAAAATTTTAAGAAAAGACAAAGAAATATTTTACACAGAAGACAGCTTCAGATACATATGGGTCAAGCTAGGAAGAGCTAAAATACATTTATTTGGAGCTCCAGAATGGGAGAATAGAAAAGAAAGATTTTATAAAAAGTATAATTTTATAAAGCTTATGAGAGTCTTCATATGAGAGTCTTCAAGAAAATAGTCATTTGTATCACATAAAAATTGTGTAGCAAGATAAATAGCTGACTAGTGTCTCTAATTCTATTTTGATCATGTCCCACATAAAATCCTTTAGAAATAGGAAGCACTCCTTTGGAATATATTAAATTCCATCTAAAATTTAGATTATATATTAAATAGGCCATAATTAGTTCATTCCTTTTGCAGTATGTAAATATGTATATTTCAAAATAAAAATATTACACTGCATGTATTTATACAGCAGTGGAATCTAATATTGATAATTTGCCATTAATATATATTTTTAATAGTACAAGTATATGAATAAGATAATATCTATAATGTTATATATCTAGATATGTCCCTATACATAATGCTTACAGACATATATGCAATATATATATACATGCATGTGTATACATACATATACATATACATATTATGGATTCTTTGAGGTCACAATTTCATTCCACTTTCCCTATATATATTGTTCAAATGTATTTCTTTATAAAAATCTTTTCTTATTCATTCACACTTCACACTTCATTTATTTTCCCAAAGAAACCTTTTATTTAATGAGTACAAATTTCATAACTACAACTTTAGGTATATAGTGATTCTTCCAACCATACCTACCTTCCCACCCCTACTCCCACCCCACTTACTCCTCCCTCTCCTTTCCCAGTCTCGTTCTCCATTAACATTCATTTTTAATTAACTTTATACACAGAAGACCAATTCTATATTCAGTAAAGATTTCAACAATTTGCACACACACACACACACACACACAACTGTTTGAGAACTGGTTTTACGGTTTACTCTCATAATGCAACCCACTGAGGACAGAGGTCCTGAATGGGGAGTTAGTGCAAAGTGACTCCTGTCGTTAATTTAACAATTAACAATTTTTAAAATATTTACTTATTTATTTGAAATAAAGAGTTACATAGAGAGAGGAGAGGCAGAGAGAGAGAGAGAGAGAGAGAGAGAGAGAGAGGTCTTCCATCTGATGATTCACTCCCCAATTGGCTGCAACAGCCGGAGCTGCGCCAATTTGAAGCCAGGAGCCAGGAGCTTCCTCTGGGTCTCCTATGCAGGTGC